TCTTGTTTTTCTCAATGATGCTTGATTATCCTTATAGTTTTAACATTCCAGTAATAGAAAAAAAACAACAAAAATCAAGTCTTTTGAGTTTGCACATTCTTTGTCAGGAAGCATGATAAATTCTAGACACATCCATTGTGATGATTTCCAAGATTAGACTGATTTCTGAATCCTCAGTTGTCTCGAAGACTGGAATGTTCCCCCTTTGTCAGTAACAGATGAGACCTGATGCTGCCCTTCACTAAGTCAGGTGATTGTGAAAGGCAGGGAGAGGAAACCCCATTTGCCAGACCTCACTTAGCTTTGCTTCATCTGAGCAAAGAAAGGCATTGTGACTAAATGAATAGCCTTCATAGTTAGCATGGTGGTTAATGTCAACTTGACAGCACCCGAAATTGCCTAGGAGACATGCCCCTAGGAACACCCATGGAGGATTATTAGTTTATTAGAACTATTATATAAAGCATTACTAGGTTAGGTTAACCTCTGGTCATGCCTGTGAGGGACTGTTTTGATTTAGTTGAGGTGGGGAGATCCACCCATTATGAGTGACTGGCATACTGTACTGGATACGATGGGGAAGTGACCTGAGTATTAGCATCATCTGCTCCCTGACTGCAGTCACAGTTCAACCAGCTCTCAAACTCCTGCTGTCTTGACTTTCCTTGATGGAGTGCCTTGCAGCTATAAAACAAAGTACACCTTTCTTCCTTAAATGTTGCTTGTGTAAGAGTATTTAATCACAGCAACAGAGAAGCAAGAAAGACAAATAGTTTTTTCTTAAGCTGGATGGGTAGTGTGTATTAAAACCCGTCATAACCTCAATCAGGAACTGTAACTTATTATCTAGGAAAACTGGGAATGTAGGGGAAGAGAAAACACTGGGCTCAGAGAGCTTCTCCTTTCCCGGATGGTTTATGGGAGCACTGAGACTCAGAAGCAGAAAGTTGTGAACTGCAAGGGACCTGAAAGGACACAAACCCAGCCCCATGGTGGGATCCCTGAGGAGTCACATGGTGGATATCTCGAGTCACAGTGGGATCCCATGAGCTCCACCTCCTCAGCACTGGGAAGTAATTTCCTCTCTCCTCGCTGTCTGAATCCAGTTCCATCTTGCCTGCCTCTTCCTGACATGTGTGATGGTAGCAAGACTTTGATCTCTCATGCTTCTATGCTCTTCCTTTTGTATTGATGGCCACACTGCTTGTTAAAAAAACACCTTGCAGTGATGCATTCACTCCTGAGTCTATCCTATAGCCAAATAGTGACTTTGAACAACTCAACCTTAAGCACTTGAATTCTGCTGTGCCTAGCATTAACTTTGTTCACATTTGAAGGTCAGGCTTCTCTGGGCCTGCACATACAGAGTCTTTGTGTCTCTCTTCAAGTGAAAAACCAAAATCAAAACCAAAACACAAAACATACAGAAAAAAACAAAACATAAACTACCCCTTCCTGTAATTCAGTGGGACGCACAGTAGGGGAGCCCAGGGCCAGGCAGTTTTGAAATTCATCATCCTTAGCTGGGAGCTAGGGTCCAGTACAGGGACTGGTACAGAGAGCTGCCCCAGGCCAGGCACAACCATCTTCATGTTCTCTGGTGTCCCTGCCTGCCACAGTCACAGTTCACTCTCCTGTGTGACCCTCACCACCACCAGACTACTTGCCCTCACTCCAAAGCCTCCAGTTACTAGCAGGCAGAGCCTCCCAGAACTCCAACCCCTCCAACTGACCTGCCCACTACCTCACGTTGAGAAACCTACCACTCTTTCAGCCTCTTCTCCTGCAAGCTTTGGTCTTAAGTCCCACACTCCTTCCAAATGGAGCTACTAAGCCTGGACAGGCTGCCCTTGTTTGTGCCTGCATTCTTCTACATTTCTGTCCTTCAGACCCAAAACTTGGCCTTGGTGCCTCTCCTCTTGTTTTCTCAGTCCAGTTCTAGAATCTTTTCAAAAATACTTTCATGTAGAAGGGATACTTATTGTTGTCTGTTACACAGATTAACCCTGTCTCCAAAAACCAAAAAAAAAAAAAGAAGAAGAAGAAAATAAATGAATCTTATTGTCTCAAATTTTGGAAAACACAGGAAATTATCAGTGGACAAAAGCATGCTTTTCTTTGATTCATTTTTGCAAGATATTTTTGTGTACATATTTATTGGTCACATCTTAAAGTAGTTTGTATCCTGATTTTATCACTTAGTGTTACATGATAAGTTTTCTCTTTAGTGTTTATGTTAGTTGACAAAAACCTTTTAAAATAGTTCTATGTTTAGTGAATATATTATATGTAAATCAAGGTATATTTGAAGTTTTGTTTGTTTAGACTTTATTCTTGTAGTTTCTTTCCTTTTCTTTGTTTTTGCTACTTAAACTAAGCCTACAATTTTAAAAAATATAGTTCTGGCAGTATCTCTATTTCTTCTTTTGGAGCAAAATTCAAGAGTGGAAATACTGGTACCCCAGGCCTTCTCAGACTCCTGTCACTTGCTAAGGCTGCTACCAAGAAAGGTATGTAGAAACTCACATACTCACCAGAGGTTTGTGAATATTTACACTGCAATAACCTTCTGAATTTTGCAAGTCACAGTGTTTTCTGTTTAGTCCTCCATCATTTAATTCACATTTGTGCATTTCTTTGGTGAGGCTGAATGATTTTCTACATTTCTGGACTCTATGCATTCTCTCTTCTGTGGACTGCCTTTGAGTGTCCTTTTCAGTTTTCAGTTGAGGTTGACATGTCTACCCATCTCCAGTATTTTAATGAAACATCTGCTCCCTGTGAAGTTCTTTGGACAGGCCCATGTTTGGCCCTCCTGGGGATGTCTTGGCACTGCATGTAAACATTTACTACCCAGAGTTGCCAGTGGTGTTACAACCTTTACATACAGTCTTGTCTCCCTCCAGTGGGCAATGAGCAACTAGCAACTAGTACCTGACCATTCCCTAGGCACAAAACCTGTGTCGAAGATTTACTGTTGCACCGATGATTTACTGAATTAATGATAAATTAGGGAGGGTCCCTGTGCAGCACCTGGACATGGGTTTCATCAGAGCAGTTTGTCAGCATTTCATGAAAAGCAGCAGGAGCAATAAACTCTTGGATGAGCTTGGGAAATTTTTCTTAAGGTAATGTAAGTGCCATAGGACTTAGAAAAGTTCACACTTGCAGGGCTAGAAATTGAAATATTGCTGGCAATTGTTTGCTCATAAAAAATCAGATGTTTATCTTTTATCTCAAGAAACAATTTCCTCCACAAAATATTATAAAATTACATTTATTTATTCATCTGGAGCATTATTAAATTATCTGGACAATTGCCCTAGCATACCTTCTAAAAGTAGGACACAAAAAAGATGTACTTCCTCAGGAAAAGGAAAAATAAGGCCTCATTAATATTTAACATAGAAATGAAAGCCAAACCAAAACCAACTGTGTTTCTCATTGAGTTATACCCTCAAATTATACTTCCTATATCCCTAATTTGGCCTTTTCACAGTTTTGTCATAAAATATGTATATATATAATGTGTCAAATACACACACACACACACACACACACACACACACACACACACACACACTACCATCTCTGAGAGCTCAGAAAAACCAGAGGAGAGAAAAGTGGGTTTTCTATTGAAACAGAAGTTAGCTCTTCTTGTCTTTGGAAGGCACTTCAGCTGGAGGCCTTGAGACCATCTCAAAATCTGAGTGGTTAGGGTGCACAGGGACTAGAGAAGTCTCTCGTGTTCCCATCTGTTGATTTCAATAGTGAAAGCTCTTGCTGTGAGGAGGAACTAGAACTTTCTGTCCCCCTGCAAGGGCCTCCCCTTTCTCTTTTGGGCACAGTGTTGCTGAGCTGTGAAAACGCAGGTGTAATTAAAGTCTCCAAGTGTCGTCCTGAGCCACACTCTGATTCTGCAAGCACTCCTCACAGGGAATTTCATAGTGAAGGAAACTGCAATGGGCAGGTGTGAAGGCCAGTGCCATCACCCTCCACAGAGGCTAAGTCCTGGGTGGGCCTCTTCCTGTGCTAAATGCCCTGTGAGTTCACACAGCTGAAATCGTAAATAATACAGCTATGTGGTAAGTCACACTCCAGTGTTTTTCCAAGAAACAAACCCTTTTCTCCAAAGAATTCATCAATGTAATAAGTGAGGCTCCATGAATTGATAGTTTTAGAATCAATACCCACATTACTGATTCCCACTGACATTGCTGCCTCCATCTGCAAGAGCCCAGACTTCCAAACACCACAATTTTCTTTGTTCCATTTTGAGTTGTGGGTCCTAGATACAACATGCCTCATGTATACCACACGGGAGTTGTACATCTTCACCCGAGGCCAGTGAGCTCCCTGACATGGTCTCCCCAGATGCCTGACCTCGACTGGTTTCCCAATTCACTTCTCTGAACAATATCTATAAATTAGATTATTCTTAGCCCATTTGACAAAAACAAACAAACCCCCAAACAAACAACAAAAAAACTGGAGCAATTATGCTACAAAATAAGTTAGGTTTTACTAAAACACGACAAAACATATTGTGAGCAGTTGCTAGGCTTGTTTAAGAATACCCACCATAAAATTTATAAACAGACAATGGTATTTCTACCATATTTAAGTAAAAATCCACAGTTCTCAAGACTGCTCTAAAATTTAGGGCCACCAGGTATAAATGTTGGGACAATTAATATCATTGCTATAATGCTTTTTGTTTTGTTTTGTTTTTACGAGACAGGGTTTCTCTGTATTGTTTTGGAGGTTGTGGGTCCAGCCCAGCCTCGAACTCAGAGACCTGCCTGCCTCTGCCTCCCGAGTGCTGGGATTAACGTCGTGCGCCACCACCGCCCGGCTGCTATAATGCTTTTAACAGTGTTTACAACATGCACATTTTAGTTGCTGTCAATAGCATGATATTTTAAACTGGACCAAAATGATTTATGGATACAGATTGACAACCTATTGTTAAATCAGATACATGCTTTAGTTATGGGAGATATTTTGAAATCTACTTTTGATTATTTTCAAGTGTGTCTGTGTGCGGTTTTGTACACATGAGTTGCAGGTGCCCATGGAGGACTGAGTCATCTACTCCCCTAGAGCTGGAGTTACAGACAGCTGTGGACCACCTGAATGGGCGCTGAGACTCAAACCCAGGTTCCTGGAAGAGCAGTGCATGCTCTTAAGTGCCAAGCCATCTCTTCACTCCCAGAGGATGTAATCTTTAAAGATTGTATTGTAGGGATTTTCTAATCGTGGTTCTTTGAGTGTGTGGTACATTTTCAGCTTACCAGAGCACTCAGGTCTCACAAAGTGGATTCCGTTTTAGATTGGTAGGAATGGCTGTGCCAGTTTCTGAAAACCAGAGGTCTTATGAAGATCTTGTGAAATAACATCCGGAATACTGGCGTCCTGAAAATGATGAAAATCCAGGGGTCCACGATTGAAATCACAGACAGAAACCGCAAGGCCTGGAGATCTCCCGAGTCTCCTTCAGTTGTGGTAACACGTTTGAAGGCTCCATAGTAAGCACGATACTGTGGGGGAAAATACAAAGAAAACCCAAAACATTACACAGGTGAGGACTTAGAAGGCAGATGGAGGGAATGAATTCCACTGCTTAGCCTGGAGTTCTCACTCTGTGGCTGGTGGATGTGGATGAGGATCTGTGAAAGTGGGGAAACTGAGTTACAGCTGGGAGACCCATCTGACTCGCTCCCTGAAGGCTGTTCCCCATCCTGGTCTCAGGTTTCCAGGACGCTGCCAGATAATGAAGACAGCACCAGGCTTCACACAGAGACACTTTAACTAGTGTCCTTACATGCACACTTTATTCAGCTGCCTACTTTCTGTCCACTCTTACTATTAGAAGTAACTGCCACACCTAGGGACACACCAACAGATGGAGCTTTGAATGGAAGTAAAAAGACAGGAACTATGAGGATAAAAACACACAAAGTGACTTGATGAAAGAAATAGTTACCACATGTAAATTCTTCCTTTAAATTGTTCATGAAAATTGGTTTTTTTTGAGACAGGGTTTCTCTGTGTAACAGCTCTGGTTGTCTTGGAACTCTTTGTAGACCAGTCTGGCCTAGAACTCACAGAGATCCACTTGTCTCTGCCTCCCAAATGCTGGTATTAAACTTGTGTATCACCATTACCTGGCTGTAAATTGTTCCTTTTATTAAGATAGATTCTATGTAAGATGCTGGCAGGGGCTACCCCAAAATAGATGCCTATTTACCTGTGTCCAGCTGCCTCTTATGCCCTGATCTCACCATGGGTTTCTGTAGTTTCCTCAGAGCTCTGCCAAGTGCCTCAGGTCATGACTCCCTGTCATTCAGGTCACACTGCTGCCTAGATCAGCACAACCTCAGAACACCATAGTGATGCTGGATACCTTTACTTTTGGCATCACCCTTCCCATGCCTACTGGGTTTCTAAATCTATTATGAAACAAACTGACCCTAATGGAACAGAAACTACATAAATCCATTATTGGTAGGGGAAACTGTGCCTAAGAGTACTCGAGGCCACCCAGAAGCATCTCTTCGAGAAGATGCACATTCCTAGAATCAGTCTCCTTATGTTGACTCCCTTCTCTACAACATTGCAGTAGTCTTGGCTATTTCAGTCCAGTGCATTTGGAAGATGTTTACACAGGTTCCTCTGTTATTGATAAATGGACACCCTTTCTCCTCATCCTTGCTTCATAATGCCAACAGCAGTAATAATGGCTGATGTCCACATAGAACCTTCAACTCCCAGGCATTATTCTAAGACTTTTTGAAATTTTCATTTTCTCTTTAGAAAAGTCTTCTGAGTAAAGACAGTCATTATCTCCATTTTACAAGACTGGAAATGGATTAAATAGCCAAACAGTTCTTAAAACTGACTTCAAATATTACCCCTTTTAGGAACCTCTTTGAGACATGGGCTAAAGGTCTAAGGTTCCAGGTTGGAATCCTCTCTTCAGATGTGTGGCTTCAGGGAAGATGTTGCTTTCTTATTTTTACAAAAATGGTCACTGTGCCAGCTTTCCAGGATACTTGCAAAGATAGAATGAGACAGTGTGAAGAAATCTGCAGGAACAGGCTCTGGTATATAATAAATGCTGGATAATTAGCTTGCAAATTATTTTTTCAACTAGGAGTTGCCCATTTCCTCTGCTACACTGTTCTTTAGCCTTAGTTATTACCCTTCCCTTACATCTTATTCCAGCACTGGGATGTTCTCATTTGGTATCTCACTGAGTTACAGAGTGTGTTAGATGAGGTAGGTACCAGATATATTTCATTGATGTGTTTTATATTTGTTAATTTTCTCCTCAGAGAAGAGGTGAAATGTAATTCCAACCAATGCAAGAATGTTTGGTAATGGAATGATACGTGTATAATTAAAACATTTTATCCTTTTTAATTAAAATATATTTTATTACTTTGTGTGTTTAGGGTTGTGACACCATAGCACACATGTGAAAAATCAGAGGATAACTTGTGGGGGTTGGTTATCTCCTTCCATCATGTGTTTTCTGGGAATAGAACTGACACCAGCAGGCTTGGCAGCAAATACCTTTACCTGCTGGGCCATCTTGCACACCAAGCTATTTTCTTTCTATGCAGTACTTATCTATGGCAATTCTACTATGTTATCTTTAATTTTACTTAGTTTTTTCTTCAAAGCTGGGGATTGAACACAGGACTTCATACAAGTCCTCGGCCAATACTCTGTCATTGAGATAAACCTTTAGTCTATTTATCTGCATATTCAAGCCTTTGCAGCTGTTATTACAAGTAAATTATTCTACAACTGGGAATTTTCAGTTGGCTCAATTTACATTAAGAACATCCACATAGAGTTTGGAGAGAAGGCTCAGTAGCTAAGAGTATTATTGCTCTTTCAGAGAGCCCAAGTCTGTTTCCAGCACCTATGTGGGATAGCCTACAATTGCCAGTAACTCCAGTGCCCTCTTCTGGCTTCTGCAGGCATCACAGGCACAGCCCCTAACCATATATACATAATTAAAACATAAAAATATTTTCAAATATAAAAAGAGCATTCATTTGAAAGAGTGCCCTCCGATGAGGTTAGGAGTCATTGAGAAGATGCTTCTGTTGCCAGCTTGGTGGCTTTTTACATTTGTGCTGGGATTCAAACTCAGGCCCTCACGTTACTGGCAATACCATACAACTACATTTTATAAGCTTCTTAAGTTTACTGCATGTGATTGATACAGATTCAGACACTATTCATTTAAATACAGGTTGAATGGGTCCTTTGTAATTCTTAAGAGTATTAAGAAGTCCCTAGACCATAAAAAGTTTGAGAACTGCTTCTAGGATAGCACACCGTCTCCTGAGGCGATCATACTTGCTGATTAATTTGCAATAACAATAAATGAGACCCACAATTAATAACAATACTGATAGCAGTTAGTGAAGCTAGGCATTGGGTTCTGTGGCATGTGCATGAACACACACACACACACACACACACACACACACACCTATTCCAAATTGTTTGGGACTAGATAGGTTTTTGTTTTCCCTCAGAATGTGTAATATGTGCACCCATCAAGACACTGGTGTAGAATGCAGCCCTCCACAGGCACCTCTGTCCTGAGATGCATGTCTTACACACCTGTGGTCTGACACAGGCACCCTGTCTGTACTCCAGCCTTTCACTTGAAATCATGTGTGGGAATTTTCCACTTATGGCAGGACATTCATGCTCAAAACATTTTAGCCTGTGAAGCATTTGGGATTCTGCTCAAGAATGCTCACTGTGGGCTGGGGGAATGGCTCAGCGGGTAAAACCCCTGCTGTGAAAGCTTGGGGATCAAAGTTTGAATCTCTAGAGTCCATAAAGCTCATATCAAGGCACATCTGCGATCCCACTACTCACATAATGTCCTGGTTGGGTTTTGTCAACATGACAGAAGTTAGGGTCATCTGAGAAGAGGAACCTCAACTGAGAAAATGCCTCAGGGCTGTAGGCTCGCCCGCCCGTGGGGGCATTTGTTAACTAGTGGTTGACAGGGGAGGGCTCACCCCATTGTGTGTGGTGCCACCTGTGGGCAGGTGTATAAGAGAGCTGACTGAGAAGCCATGGAGGGAAAGCCCAGTAAGCAGTGTCCTCCATGGTGTCTGGTTCAGTTTGTGTCTCCAGGTTCCTGCTGGCATCCTGCCCTGGCTTTTCCACTAGTCTCTGATGTGGACCTGCAAGCTGAAATCAGCTCTTTCCTCCCTGAGTTGCTTTTGGCCATGGTGTTTATCGCAGCAACAGAAACACAGCAAGATAGGAGGCTGCTGGCCAGCGGGTCTGGCACATACCAGCAAACAAAGAGTCACGTGTCAATCAAAGTGTCAGGTGAGGATCAATGTCTGAGGCTGCTTCCTCGTGTGCATCACGAAAAGCACATGCCTGTGCTCATATAGGTGTGTGCACACACATGACACACAGAGAGATGAAATCTCAGTGTTGTGATTTTTAGCCTTTGTCAATCCTACACAGCTCCAGATGAGGTCAGACAGCAAATAATCCACTACCACAGTCACTGAGTGCTAAACTTGACCCAGAACGACAATCATGGAGAGATCCCTTCGTCCTTCTAGGAAATGATGGCTCCTGTGAGGAATGCTGTCTGGCTTGCACTTATCCAGGACTTTATAAATTGTTTTATCAAATTGGTTTCAAGTATCTTGGCTCCTTCAATTCTCACAGGTCCATAAGATAACATGGCTCTCCTTAGAGATGTGTCCAAGGGCTGTGTTTGTTCCATTGTTCACAGTTTCCTGATTTAATCACATTAAAGCATCCAGAAGCTGCTTCAGATTTCCATGGACCTAGCCACGGCTTGCTTTCATCAGAGCACAGGTAAGCTCCAACGGATCTGGAGCTTTTTGGTTAAGGGCTGTAAAGTAAATGCTTCAGGTTTTCTAGTCCAAGGGAACAAATAATGAATGTTCAGCAGACACTAATATAACCAGAAAACACACATACCCCCACAACTATTATTTATTATTTTATGTCTATGGGTGTTTTGTCTGCATGTATGTCCGTGTACCACACGTGTGCCTAGGACTTCTGGAGCCAGAAGAGGGGTCCCCAGATGGTCATGAGCTGTTATGTGAACTAAGAAATTAAAGACGCAATAACAATAACTGGGTGCAACTTTTAAGTACAGTTCTAATAGGAAGAATTTGATTCTTTGTTTGTTTGTTTGTTTGTTTTTACGAGACAGGCTTTCTCTGTATTGTTTTGGAGGGTATTGGTCCAGCCAGGCCTCCAACTCACAGAGATCCGCCTGCCTCTGCCTCCCAAGTGCTGGGATAAAAGGCGTGCACCACCACTGCCAGGCGGAATTTGATTCTTTTTAAAAAATTGAATAGTGCTTAGTTTAATTGGGGCTCTAAACTGATTACAAATATTCATTTCAGTTTGGGAACTGCCAACTTAGTGAGGTTGTTTAAATGCTACACCTGGAGCAGCTCCTTCATTCAGCCTCTGCCATCTTCTTGTTGTAATTTGGAACCCAAGTTAATGAGATTCTTTGCCATCTCATTGGCCAAGATTGAAACTAAACCCTCAGGACAGATGAGGGCACAACCTGCCACCTGTAACCCCTCCCCCTCTGCTTTCACCATGCCCCCCTCAAGGGCAGCGCAGCTGCAGGCACAAACCTAGAGTTTTCAGAACTAAATCTGTGTTTATTGCTCATTTCTGTAAGCCACTCTGGATGAACTAACCCCTTTCCTCTCTATGCCAAAATCCAGAGAGGAGCTCCCAGACAAGTCCGTTTCCAACACCTCTGAATTAAAAGGCAGATCTAACAAAATAAAATACATCGCTGGTGCGGGGGTCGGGGAGTAGAGGAGTAAGGTCTTGGCACACAGATGACTAGAGAACTCACAGACCTGAGCAGAGAGGATGGGGCATCTGGCAGTCGGAGAATGTTGTACTGAGTCTCTCTAACCTTTTGTCCAACATTCCCTCTTCTCCCTCTACAAATGAGGTCATACCTTAGGGCTGGGAAGGAATTTGCTCTCCTGGAGTGTTGAGCACAGAATCAATCCCCCACCCCTACCCAGTCCCCAGCCAGAATGGGAGAGCAGCATCCCTCCCTCTCCCAACTTCCCACTGGGCCTAGCCCGAGGCGCTCAGTTTTCCAACTTTGGTGCCCAGCAACTCACAATAAAAGGCAGGGAACACACAGTGAAGAGCACTGTCATCAGAGCCAGCAGCAGGAGGTGGTCCAGCTCCTCCAGGGGATGCAGGGACTCTTGCCTGTGACCTGAGCCTGTCTGGGAGTGGTCCCTGAGGCAGCAGCGAGGGTGGCGCCTCAGGCGCCTGTGCATGGTATAGAGGTTGTGCATGGCACCCAGGTTGCAGAGCACGGTAGCCAGGACCAGCAGCGCCATGAGGCTGGAGTAGAGCACAGAGAAGCCGAGAACCGACAGTGAGCGCTTCTCATGGACCATCTGGATGAAGCACCAGGTGCCTGGGCAGTACTGCACGAACTTCCCAAAGCCAGCGAAGGGGAGTGCACAGAAAGCCAAGCAGAAGGCTCCCACAATAGGAGCCACCAGCACTCCCCTGCGCAGGGTAATGTGCCTTTGGTAGAAGAAGGGATGTCCCAGAGACAGCCAGCACTCCAGCGCCATAGCCAGCAGCTGTAACGTCGAGGCTAGTCCAAAGAAGGACATAATGAAGGCGAAGGCTTGACATAACTTACTGCTCCCGGCAGGCAGCAGTTCCTGTAGGCTCCGGTTTTGCGCATAGGCAGCCAGAACCACCGGGCTGATTAGACACTTGCCCAGCAAGTCTGTGACCGTCAAGCCGCACACTAGCACGTAGAAGACCGAGGGTAGAGGGCGCTGTGGCCGCGGCCGGCAGGACCCCAGGCCAGATCGTGCCAGCAGCACCAGCGCCAGCAGGTTGCCCAGCAGTCCAGCACTGAAGAGCAAGCCGCCCATTGTCGCCGAGGAGCCCTTTTCCACCCAGCGAGATGCCTGGCAGCGGTAGAAGGACAAGGAGGCATTCATGGTTCTTGCTGCGTCCAGCTGGAGGGGAGGCCAGGTGTGGAGCACCCCAGGGCCCCTCGGGGCAATGCTCTGCTGGGGCACAGGGAAGTTACAACAAAGAAAGATCAGCAGGCGGCTGGGTATTGTTCACAGTCAGTCCTCCTATCTGAGATTCCGGGTCACACCCCTGGAGGAGGGCGGGACACTGCTATAAGTATCCCAGCGGGGGGGCGGGGGGCGGCTCTGCTGAGAGCTCTTCCTGATGCACAGGGTCCCAGGAGAGACAGATCCTATACCCAGAGTCAGAAGGAGAGGAGAAAGTATCCAGGATCTGAACACCCCAGGCTGGCCCTTCAGAGCAGGCAACAGAACTGCAGACAGAAAGGGAACCGAGTAGGCACCAACAGAGAGAAGGGAAGCAGCAGATGGTGGTAGCCATCAACTCTGCATACAACCAAGCTAGGAGTCTGAGAAAGGGCAATGGTCTATTCTTCTCAGATTTGTGTAAATAACATTGGCGGCACTCCTGAGCCTTGGTTCCCATTCTCTTTCAGATGCCTGCAGTGTGGAGATTGACTATGAGGAGAGAAAAGAGGGGCCTTGGAAATCAGGGGATCTGGTTAGTGTGGCAGAGGTATCCAGTGGCAGTCAGCCAGGCATCAGGAGTTTGTTGAGTCCACCTGTCCCCTTCCATGGTTCCTCTGCCAAGAGGCTGACCAATTTCCAGGCCAGCTTTTTCTGCACATGGAAAACCAAGAGGTGATATGATGTGGGTGCCAGAAACCACCGTGACTGCGTAGCCAGGTGACAGGATGTGGTTAAGAGCACTGATGCTGTCATCAGGCCTGGGTTCAAGTCCTGGGTCTGCTGTTACTGTCTGTGTGAACTGGGACATGCTCAGCTTCTCAAACAGCGACATCTCTCCTGGTTGCTTGGTCACTTTGAAGTATGGAGACAAGATATAGAATGTGCCTGGGGAGTCCTTGGTGCATGCAGTTGCCACAATTTTATTGGGGAAAGCATTTCTTTTGTTACTTTGTTTTGTTTTGTTGCTAATAGGTAGCTGCAGATTTCAACATGGATTCTGAAACCAGAACATTTGCCTTGTTTTTGAGCATTCCCACTCTTCTGTCCTGTGACTACTGGAGAAAATGTCGTCCTTTCTGGCAGTGGCTTGTCTGCACCAAAACGGGAGGGCATGTTCCCTGGAGATTCCTCATTTAACACTCCTTATCTTGGGACAGAAACTGGCATCCACTGCGGAATTTTAGAGGCGCGATTTGGGCTAAAGTATGTAAGCAAGTAGATTACGCCTTGGCATGAAAAGCTTCATCTGCAGTGCTCTTTGCCTATGCTGATGGACAGGGTCAGGGAGAGGGCAGGTCCTGAGCTTCACATGTGGAATCCTGAAGGGTGGGCAGAGAAGCTGCCTCCCACTGAAAGCCTGGCCAGCAATTCAGGCCACAGGAAAGCAGGAGTCCAAGTTGGGAAATTACATAGGACCTTTAGGATTTTGGCTTAGTGTTTCAATCTCTCCGAGATTCAGTGTCCTTATCTCTGTGTTAGGGGACCTCTTTGACCTCATATGATTGCTGTCTGAGGAAAAGTAACAATAAATAATTTGACATGGAGTGGTGACAGTAAAAGCTAACACTGAGAGCCTTGTCTCTGCTGGTAAACCTCTAGGCCATTCAGGGTGCATTTGGGTGCATTGACTGTACTACAGAGGTCTTGGTGAGGTCAGTCCTTGTCTATGCTGGACGCCGCTAAGTCAACAGTTCTCAACCTGTGGCTTGTGACCCCCCAAAGACCATCAGAAAGCACAGATTTTACATTAAAACTTATAAACAATAGCAAAATTTCAGAGCAATGGCAATAATTTTATGGTTGGGGTGAGGTCACCACATGAGGAACTGCATAAAAGGGTCACAGCATTAGGAAGGTTGAGAACCACTGCACTGACTCCATGAAGCCCTGCATGGGGTTGGCTCTATGTCTTGTGCCTTCTCTCTCACCCCTATCTCCTAGTAAATAATTATGAACTTAGAGGAGCTGCACTTGAGTATTACAGAGCATAAGAGAAGGAGGCCCTATGGCCAATGACGGGAGAATCTGATGAAGGCTGAGTTCTCTTCTATCAAGTTCAGAAATTCACCATTCCCTCTGGTCCCACTGTGGTATTGAGAGGAGTCCCAATAAATTCAGTTTAAGAATCCTGCCATTGAAGGCATTGCTTGAGCACACTCCTGAAGAACACCCACTTTAATTCTTGGTGGCTTCCTCTATTTACCTACATCGTTCTCTTCCCAAAGGTACAGGGCAGAGGGAGAGAGTCCAGTCATGTGTGAGATTGTCCAAAACAACTCCAAATATGAGCTGGGTGTCCCTGATGTCGATTACATGACTTGTTTCAAAGTTTGAAAGTGTGAATGGGTACAATTAAGGAAACCACACGTTTCCTCCTGGACAGCTCAGCTATGCTTTACCATGGGATTTCTGACAGCCTTTCCTGTCTGTTTTCCTATTGTCCACCCTCCACTCTGCACAACTGCAGAGTGGTCAATCCCTGTCCCTAGGAAACCCCATCCAATGATGTCACTGTAGAGCTATGAAAAACTACCGTTTGTTCATGCATCAAATACAGTTTTGACCTCCTACTCCTGCTAAGCACAGGAGAGGGGAGGGTAGGTTCTTAGGCCCTTACTAAAATAGGAAGGTAAACATGCCATGTGACCTTTACAATCTTCTAAGTTTTTACATCAGTTTTCACAGTAAGCAGGACCAAGTCCTGCTTGGAAACTTTTAATTAAAATATCTCATGTTAGAGACCATGTAGACACACTCCTCACACAGCATGTGGTTGGTACAGCATCAGTGACCTGGAAGGAGTTGGGAGGTTTCCTTTGAGGACTAAGTCTCATCTTTGTTCCTGATGATGTCATGTCTATCATCTGTAGATCTCAGTTTCCTTGGGAATGAAGGATCCTTTGTTTTTAGCACACTTTAGAAACCCCTGGGAAGATGGCTCACAGGTAAAGGCACTTCACATGCAAGTCTGACAACATGGGTTTAATCCGTGGAACCCACATAAAGGTGGAAAGGGAGACCTGAGTCCACACAGGAGTCCTCTGACCTCCACACCCATACCGGTCATGGCAATCTCTCCAATGTCGTATACACACAATAGTAAGACTTTTCAAAATTAGAAATACTTAGAAAGATATAAACACAGTCAGGCAGTGGTGGTGAATGCCTTTAATCCCGGCTTTTTTGAGGCAGAGGCAGGTGGATGTCTGTGATTTGAGGCCAGCCTGTAGGTGGAGTTTTTCTTTAGGACTGCAGGCTCCCCAGTAATGACAGGGAGACTTATTATTAATTATATTCAGCCAATAGCTTAGGTTTGTTACTAACTAACGCATATTTCTTATCTACACTCTACTACATGGTGGTACGTGTTTTCAGCACTGCATACTCATGTCTTGCTTCCTGTATCTGGTTGGTGAATCCATGCTTCTTCATCCCATGCCTAGCTATTGGCCATTTAGCCCCTTATTAAACCAATGAGAGCAACAAATATTCACAGTTGTTGGGGAAGTCCTGTGATTATGTCAATAAAGTACTGTTGGCCAATAGGGAAGTTAGATAGGTGGGACTAGGAGTCCAGGAGGACTCTGGGTAGGAGAAACACAGAAAGTCAAGATGTAACGCCATGGGGTAGGAAGCTCGGAAAGTTCTCCGGTAAGAGAAATACTTAGATTAACAATTATGGGGTAATTACTTAAGTCAGAGCTAGCCAGTAAGAAACAAGCAAGGCCAACAGCTTCATAATTAATATAGCCTCCTGTGTGATTATTTGGGACTGATGCGGCTCTGGAACCAGGCTAGCGGGAAGGCTTCTCTTAAGGAAAAAAGCTTCCCTTTACACACAGTGTACAAAAAGATTGTTCTACAGCACCAGTGGTCTACAGAGCAAATTCCAGGACATCCAGGACTGTTACACAAAGAAACTCTTTCTCAAAAACCACCTCACCCCTCCAAAAAAAAAAAAAGAAAAGAAAAGAAAAAGAAGATATAAATATTTCTGATGCTTCCACATTGAAACCAGGTCTATCAAATATTTTGAGGGTACTTTCTGAGGGTGCTTCAGAAGTTTTTTCTTTTAATTCCCCCAGTTAATTGCTCTGCCCTGAAAATGTTAAGTACATGCTCTCTGAGGCCCTATAAGCCATGTTAGTTAATGCTTTTATTCTTACCAACTGCACCACAGAAGCTTCCTTCATTCCATTTCTGATAAGGAAAATGATCCGGAGAATATATATATATATATTTTTTTTCCCATTGATTCTGAGACATGAGTAGTCTTGGCCAACTTTCCTAACCTTCTGTGCCCTTGAATGAATCAAGATAGGGTTCTCTGTGTGCTTGGCACTGTACTTGAAGAAAACATAATTTTAATTTCCATCTGGATGGAGCTTAAGCCCTTAGGATCAGAATGAAATCTGAACTTGTCTTTGGGAGATGGCACCAGAGTGAATAAATGACTGAACCTTTCATTGCTATCCCAGTTACAGCTGTGGAACCCGCTGATTACTGAGCTGTCAGCAGTTTGGTCCTTGTTCTGAGGAAACTGTTGGCAGCCATGGTTGGTTGGGTTCCCTGCTGAGAAGATGCTGAGCTGGAGATCAGGATAGGGTGTGCAGAGTCTTTTCTTTGAGATTAACACCGGGAGAAGGGAAGGGATAGAATCTGGGCTGACAAAGAAAGAGGACTTGATCCTTCTGGTAAAAGTCCTTTGCTGAACAACCGGAAGCTTAGCCTCATGGCTACATGACTGGTTTTGATTTAGTTGTCTGTAACTCGGTCTCTGAGTCTTGGTTCATCCCTCTGGTGACTCAGGACTCTTCAGATTCTTCTTGGAAGTTCTTTGGTCTTGTTCCAAACCCCATTTACTCACTCTAAGGCTCTGTGAAAAGTCAGCAGTGTTTACTGTATGGTGTATTTGTTTGAATATTAGGTGATGTCTCTCAAGGGCCATGTCTACCTTTACTTTGTCTTCCTTGACCCAGCAACCCACACAGTAGGGTCTCAATGAATGAAGTATATACAATACTTTCTACTATTTTCCATGCCCCGAAAGACCCCATTCCTGGGTCTTAA